ATGTATTAAGGACTTTGTCCGCGTTTGGACAATTTTGTTCAGCGGATCAAGTCCTTCACCTCTCCGAAAATTGTCGTTCTCTGTCCCTATTGCACCGCTGTCCAGAATCAGGGGAACTCCTGCACTCGACGGATGTGCGCAATCACCCACGCACACAGGCTTACGAATTAGGTCGCTGTTGCAGTTACCTAGTCCAAGAAGTCAAATGTCCCTTACTGCTTGCAGTCGCACTCCACATCCCTGCTGCCAGCGTCATTTCACACATTAATTGATACAGTTGTGGCCTTTGCGGACAGTTTGTTACCCAAATCTGTGGTCGTGGTGGTGAGATAGAAAGCATCACGGTGGATAGCCGTTCAAAATACTGTTTTTTTAAAAAAAAACAAGTGTTTGAGTTTTGGAACCGTTGTTGTTGAGTAGGAAGGTTATATCGTCGCTATTGCCCTCTGCTACCCCAACAAGGTGTTGTTTAACGAAATAGAGGGATGATTCTCTGTAATTCGACGGCTAACTTCCTCATCCACGCTACCTCCCCATCGATACACTAGTGTTTGGTTCCCAAATGGTGCCAGTCGGTGAGTGAAGCAACACTTTAGCTAACAAAATACTGTGATGCATTGCGACCCTTCTGGAAGGCACCAGTCTGTCAAATCGATGCCCAGGCGTGCGTGAGGCTGTAACTGCTACATTCATCACGGCAAACTACTTCATCAAACCTGAGACCTTGCATACTTTGAATGTAGCTCTCGCTGTAGATAGTTCCACTATTCGCCACCTGTGGACACACCCTATGGTCCCTACGGATACGTTTCTGTTTCCGGGGTTCTCATCGTCCAGTGTGGTACAGAGCCTTGTAATAGTTAAAGCTACCATGACCTAGGCGGTTGGTCGCTGATTTAAGAAGTCTTTATGGCAAACCAAAGTGCAGGATGCTTGGAAAAGGCCTCATCTACAACACTTGCTTTGCTGTCAGACCCTTTTTCTCGATTTGCCTCTCGCTTCAAACCTCTATCTGAAGCATGTCTCGTGCTAAGATACCCATAGCAACCAGTAGTTCTCACCCTTGCCTAATGGACTGGATTTTAGGCCTGACCATCCTGAAAAACGAGAAAATTCATTTTTTTGGACAGTACCACATTCCCAAACAGACTGGCAAGCAGTCAGTAGAACTACTGTTCAATTTTCGTCGTTGATTTCACTTTTGCGTCAAATGTCGACTACCCTCAATATGTCAGTTATCAATGAGTTTCTTCGGCAATAAGCGCCGAAGATTGCATTAAATTCGCAAACCTCGAGTTTTTTTACCTTGATTTGAGAAAACTCTTTTGCATCTTTTTAATTGAATTGAATTTTCTCTGACAGGAACCCCAGTCCAGTCCGGAGCGCTCACGCCGTACTCTCGACCGATCTGGTGCCTGTTCCCCCGGTGTTCGGCACTATGATGATGTCGAGGTGCCTCCTTTCGCCTCATCAGCAGCTGCTACAATCGCCCAGTACTACGATGAAGGTGTTTTCTCTGGAGACGAGTCAGAAGCTCCAAGACCGGGGTACGCACATTCCCGTCCCTGTTTCTACCTTTTTAGGTTGTGGAAGCAGCGCTTATCCCCACCAACCGGTCATTTTGCGTTTGTAAAATCTAGTCCTCCCTCAGTTTGCACTAAACATTAGCCTACTAAATGCTGTAGATACCAACTGACTACTCAAATGGCGTTACTAGACTTAGCGGTAGATGTGCCGTGTTATTATCTTGATGTAACAAGAAGTCATTTCTGCGCAGTGTCGGTGGTCTTAAAGGAAGTGCAGTCGGCCGCGTCCTTTTTGATCTCACTAACTATCCCACTAGTTATTCAGTGTTCCCGTCATCCCTCACAACATCTTGTTCCTTTTTTTTTTCAACTAACGTTTGTGGACTGTGGATGGTCTGCCTCTCCCTACCGACCGGGCATTTTTCGTTTCAGCAACCTTGTTTTTAGTTCTCCCCCTGTTTGCAGGAACCGTTAACTGCTGTACAGACTACTCTGCACACTGCCTACTCCCATGGAATAGGCGATGCAACTTAAATTGTGGGATTTTAGTGAACAGCATATCCATGCAATTGTTAGAGTAGGGCTGAGTGTGGGGTCCTTAATTTCACAGTTCCCAGAACAGACACTCCACCCATTTTATACAATGCCACAGTCACATACAACAGAAGCGCATAGTGTACCTTCTTGATTTGGGGT